AAAAAAAAAAAAAAAAAAAAAAAAAAAAAAAAAAAAAAAAAAAAAAAAAAAAAAGGTACAAACGAATCCACAGACGGCGCCGGTGCACCTGTTGCCTGGAGTACCAGAGTAGCTGCAGGAGGCGCGCAACGCCGACCAGCCCTGGGATGTCGTCGGCGTCGGGGGTACAACTACGGCTGTCGTCCGACGAGGCGGCCACCGTGACCGCGGCGGCCAACGCTGCCAAGAGCTACCGGCGGGGCAGTCTCGCGGCCACGCTGCACTTCATCAACCTCACCACAGGGCACCCGGACGCTTTTGACGTCGCCCGGCGCAGACTCAGCAACGTAGGTGACGTCTTCTCGAGAAAAATATCGCGCACCATTGGCTGGCGGCCCAACTCCGTCTCCGTTGAGAATACGGTTAATCAGGTGATTTAGTTTTCCTTATGTATCGATGAGTGGTTCGTTTTTTTTTTTTTTTTTTTTTTTTTTTTTTTTGTGACTCGAAAAACTCTTTTATTCGTGTTGTTTCTCTGTGCACTGATCTTCCGAGGATGTAGGGAAACAATAGTTACAGTGGTGATTCCACTCTGAACCCAAGGAAGCAAACTGATGATTCGCATTGTTTTTTTACATTTTTCTCTTTATTTTTACGATACTCGCACAGAAAATCAAAACAACTTTGATTTACAATTTGTTTTTTTTTTTTTTGTTTTTTTCTTTTTCTAGTTGAACTCGCCCGTTTTTCAAACAACAAGGGCTTTACATGATCATATACATATATATAATAATCACACATCGGAGCGTACAAGCGACGGTAATTTTCGATTCCCCGAATTAAGTTTCACAGTAACATAAACACCACACTCCCAAACGTCTGTACATCGAACGACTTAATCATCCCGTTAAAACATGAATAAAAGAAAAAGTGTTAATTCCATGCTCGTCTTCTCGCACTTCACGCATCATCATGATCGTACACGGTAATATTATACCTACAATCCATAAATTAATAAAAAAACGAGTAAATTGAGCCGTTGAATAAAAAAAAAGTATGATGTAGGCGCGCGAAGAAAAGAAAATACGTGTGATCATCGATGTCTCACTTGAAGTACCTCTTGCTCGGACAGTACGGCGCAAAGTGCGCGGTAAACCGCTCGACGATCAGACTGCAGGATATCAACTTCCCTCGGATGAGCTTGCGCTCGACAAAGTAGGAATCGAACAGCGGCCGTTCGACGCGAAACGCAAAGTGGTACTGCTTTTCGGTCGCGGGCAGTGCCTGCAAGAAAAACGGTTCAAACCTATCGTCATTCAAAAAGAAAGAAAAAAAAAAAAAAAAAAAAAAAAAAAAAAAAAAAAAAAAAAAAAAA